GAAATGGGCAGAGAAATGGGCCCTGCAGGGGGAAAGGCAGGAGCCAGCCCCTGGAAGGCCACAGCTCCTGGTTTAGGAGGCAGGAACATCTGCATAGAATAGTGACAGCTGTGCAGGGGGGAGGGGGGGGGGGAGGGGCTGCATGAAGCCACAGGGCTGCAGGCCCTGAGGAAAAGTGCTGGAAAAGGAAGACAGAGAGAGGGGTGGCAGGAAGGAAAAGATGTCCGCAGTGAGACAGATGCTTTGCCCCAGGTCCTGCAGAAATCAATCATCTCAGACAATGCGTGGGAGCGCATGAGGGCCCTGCAGACCTTCTCCCAACTGCTGGCTGCTTCTGAAGAGCTTCGAGTGAGTAAAGAGCCCCACCGCATGCCCCCTGTTCCCTCCCCACTGCCCCTGAGCTGGAAGGCGAGCTCCGCCCAGCTGTGCATGCTGTGTCACTGTGTGTGGGGAGGGCACAGGTGGAAGTAGCTAGTGAGAGCTGGACCTGCCTACAGCTTTTTTCCTGCCTCTTGCCCCTGCAGAGAGGAGATGCCTGCAAGCACTTTGGCTCCTTGGTGGGATTGCTGGCACCTCTGACATGTGATCCCATGCCCACATCCCGCCAATTGGCTGTCTCCTGTCTGCACTCCCTTCTCCAAATCCAAGGCAAGTAGAATGGGTGTGCACCAGCCCTCTTCTCTCCTCCCTTAGGCCCTGTTTACAGGAGGGAGAGGCACTGTGCGCTGCTCTCTTCTCATCCCCACCCTGTCCTCTGTCTCTGCCCCAAGGAAAGCAGTTCTGTTTCCAGAAGCATGACTTTCCTTTTCTCTCCATGCTCTTTCCAGCCAAGGAGACCAACACAATTGAGACAGGAGACATCAGGAGCCTGTGCGAGGGGCTGCATGCCTGCAGCACCACCTCTCAGCTCCAGACCTCTTCCAAAATTGCAAGGGTAAGTGGACCCAAAAAGGGGTGTGGGATCTCAGTGCATAGGCTTCTGCATGACCCTAAGCTGCCCCCAGCTTCTCACACCATTTCCAAAATGAGCTGTCACCCTGAGACTTTTCTCAGCAAGTAGCTGGAGGCTCTGAGCTATGTCTGGCCTTCTGGTGCCCAGTGAAAGGAGCCGACTGTATGATGTGCATTTGTCTGTGTGTGTGACTGTGTGTGTTTGTGTGCAT